CAAGTGGACACCAGTAAATTTAGTGAAAATAAACTGTGTTAAATTTATATAATATAACAAACTCGCGGAGCAAAAGGGAGACACGTCCTACATGCTTGGTGTCCAACCAAGTGGTCAAATAAATCTAATCTAATCTAATACTCCTTCCGTGTTGATACAACTGCTTTCACTAACTTGCACTGGTGTAGACGACAGAGGACGCAGAGGTATAGGCTATCAGCAGGAGGATTTCAACCGCAGGAACCGTGATATTAACGTTTTTTTATAAGGCTATACCCTTCTTGTTTTGAACTTCATGCATGTGTATTGAATGTTAGACAAGTTCATAATGATAACGAGACTGTTTATCGTGGTGATGTGTGTTACGCCTGCCTGTTTACCCCTACTGGCTCTGCTACACAGTGCAGACGTTAGTTGGGCAACAGGTGTATATAATCCCTAATTAACTCCTTATAGGGGTAGTATAAAGACCTGTGACTTGGTGTGAGAGCTCTCTCATCTCTCTCACATTATTTCTTTAGTATTGTTGTTTTCCCATATTTATTTTTAGTGCCAGATATTGTTTATTTAGTAACCACGCGCGTGTGTTTTCCCCTCCCCTAGACGTCGTTTTTTTTTTTTCTTTCTTTTTGATTATTTAATATTTGTTTGTTTGCTTGGTTGATAATAAATTGGTTTATTGTTAAAACATTTGTTGTTTGCCTCTTTTATGTTGCGGTATATGAGCCAGCCGTAACATAAAAATGGGGCCTCGTCCGAGATTTTTTTGAGCGTTTGTTTTGAGGGAGTATTTTATTGTCTCTTCAGGATTTCTTGTAAGGTTTGGCTTTTCACTCCGGTTAGTTAGAGTGTTTCAGCTGGGCAGCTCGTGAGCGTCCTTCCATCGGAACACTGTTTGTTGTTTTGTTGATTTCTTTTTGTATCTTATTTGGAGTTTTGGAAGGAAATCCTGGGAGGGGGTACGCTTCTCGCGCAGCTGAACTCATTTAGAGAACAGCTGTTACGAGGTTCAGCGTTTCAAGTCGCCTCGAGCCCGGCAGTCCTTTGAAGACTAGTAAGGATAGTTAGTTTCAACAGGCAGGCATATCGGAGATGAAAAGCCAAAAGAAATCCTGGTGAGTACTTTATATTTCTCCTTGGTGTTTGTTTAGTTTGATTAAAGAGAGCATGTTTTCGCGCGTGGTAAGTTTGTTTTTTATATAGGAAGTTGATGTTTGTGTAGAACGGTTAAAATATTAAATTTGATTCGTTTACACGAAGATCCTGTGTCAATAGTGATCGATGACAAGTAATACGTTTGTCACAGCTGTTGTATCCTATTGAGTGTGGCCGATTGTTGTTTACTGTGAGTAAATTAGCACTGCATTGAACGGTTACAGGGTCGAAATTTTCCTATCGAAATTGAGCATTAGATTTATTGTCCTAGTAATAACACTGAAATTGTTGATGTGACTTTAAGGTCTGTTTGATTAATCTGAATAATAAAAACAGGATTTGTTTTATCTTGGAAATATTAATTCATTTGATCTTTTTGCATTTCTAGTGTTATAGTGGATTGAGCTAGGCTGTGCGAAATGGTATGTCAATGTATTATTGAATAATCATTTGGGCTTAGGCTGTTTTCTGGCACTTTTGTTTTGGGAGGATTTATTAGAATTATTTTTGATTTGTTGTGGTCAATTAACTAATCTTCATTGTGTGAATTATATGTTAGTCAAAAAAATGAGTTCCATCATGAAATTGAATGTAGAGCTTTCTGAGAAGTTTCTAGATAGGTGCACCAAAGAACAACTTTTAGAAGTCGCAGAGAGTCATGCAATCATATTGACTGGCACTGATAAGAAGCGCAAGGAGGATTTGTTAAGAGTTGTTAAATCCCAGTTGATAGTCAGAGGAATTCTGGTTGTAGGAGATGAAGCTGGTAGTGGTAAGGCAGCATCTTCACCAGTTGAGAGAGATTTAATGTCAATAGAGAAACAAACACAGTTTGAAACTGAGAGACTATCGTTTGAAGGTTCTCAAGCATTAGAAGAGAGGGAATGGGATAAACGTGTTCAGTTTAAAAAATTAGAGCTTGAACAGGAGCGTGAGCGTGCACAATTTGAGCTAAGGAAGTTAGAGTATGCACGTGAGAGCGAACGTGAACTTAGGCAGTATGAGATGAAGAAGTTAGAACTTGAACTGGAAGTAAAAAAAAGCTGAAGCTTCAAAGTCCATTCCGGTTGGGCATTCTTCTTTTGATGTAACATTAAGATGGTTCCCCCATTTTGTGAACGTGATGTAGACAGGTACTTTGCCCATTTTGAAAGGGTTGCTTCTTCTCTAAAATGGCCAGAAGAAGTCTGGACTTTGCTTTTGCAGTGTGTTCTGACCGGGAAGGCTCAGGAGGTGTTTTCTTCTCTTTCCGAGGAAGAGAGTGGAGATTTCAAACAAGTTAAAATAGCCATTTTGAGAGCGTATGAGTTGGTACCAGAGGCTTATCGCCAACGATTTCGTGGTTCTAAAAAACTTGAAAGGCAAACATATGTTGAATTTGCTCGGGAAAAAGAAATCACGTTTACAAGGTGGTGTCAGTCTCAGAAAGTAGAAACCTTGAACCAGTTAAGGGAGTTAATTCTTGTGGAAGAATTTAAAAACTGTGTACCAGGGTCTGTGTCAACTTATTTGAATGAGCAGAAGGCTCTTACATTAGCTGATGCAGCTGTGTTGGCTGATGAATTTGTTCTGACTCACAGAGTTTCTTTTCCTGATAAAGGTTCAAGTGATCAGAGTAGGAAGTTATTTCGGAATCATTGGACGCCTCAAGTGAGTACATCGAATACCGTGTCAAGTGTGCCCCCTGTCAGTCAGAATTTTTCATCAGACAAGAAGGGTAAGGTGACCTGCTTTTACTGTCACAAGGTGGGACATAAGATATCTGAATGTAACGCTTTAAAGAAGTCTGCTAAGCCAGTTGGACTGGTTGGACGTGAACCTCTGGAGATTCATGCTCACCAACAGGACACTGAGATTGGGAAGGGGATCTCAAAACCAGTAGATGTCGGGGATAATTATACTGCGTATGCTCCGTTTATTACCAGCGGCTTTGTGTCTTTGCCAGGACAAGAGGAAAAAGTTTCTTTGAGGATCCTGAGAGACACCGGAGCTTCTCAATCGTTTTTGCTAGAAGGGGTTCTTCCACTCTCAGATCAGACTGCGACTGGGAAGGATGTATTGATTAGGGGGATAGAAATGACTTTCTTAAAAGTTCCCTTACATAAGGTACATCTTATATCTGATCTGATAACTGGTGATGTGATTGTGGGAGTACACTCTTCCCTTCCTGTGCCAGGGATTTCTTTTATCTTGGGGAACGATCTTGCTCAGGGGAATGTGTGGGGAACATCAACATCAAAACCTGTACCATCTACTGTTGTCGTGTCTTCACCTATGTCTGCAGATGTTCCTGATGAATGTGGTCAGAAATTTCCCCATGTGTTTCCTTCCTGTGCTGTCACCCGAGCCAGAACAAAACGACGATGTAGTTCTGTACAGTTCATCTTGGACCGATCACCTAGTCCAAATAAGGGAGTTATTCGTTCGTTTGACTGAGGCTTCTTTAGCGTTAAATTTGGCAAAGTGCGAATTTGGGAAAGCTACTGTTACCTATTTAGGAAAAATAGTAGGAAATGGACAAGTTCGCCCCATTGAAGCTAAGATTGAGTCCATCTGTGCATTTCCAGTGCCTACAAATCGCAAAGAATTGCGTAGGTTTCTGGGAATGGCCGGATATTATCGCGGGTTTTGCCCAAACTTTGCCTCTATTGTATCACCTTTGACCGATCTTATAAGTACTAAAGTACCCTTTAATTGGACCAATGTTACCCAACTGGCATTTGATGGAGCAAAAGCATTGTTGGCTAGTGCTCCTGTGCTTGTTGCACCAGATTTCTCTCAGCCTTTTTGTTTAGCTGTCGATGCCAGCTAGTGTTAATTTCGTTAACGAAAACTAAACGAAAATATTTTCGTCAACGCACATTTTTCACCTAACGAAAACTAGACGAGACGAGACTAAAGTCCCCACTAATAAACAATAACTGGGACTAAATCAGAAATAATTTTCGTAGACTAATAAAGACGAGACGAAAATGCAGTTCGGTAAATAAAGACTGGGCTAAAATCTATGGACATTTTAGTTCACGAACAAAGACGAGACGAAAATTACATATTATTATATGATATGGTTTTGTCAAATCCTGTCTCCTCCTCCGCCTCCTCCGCGTCAGCTCTTCCGCCACACACCCACGTTCAAACCTGGAGCGGGCGGGCACAGTCAGAGTAGCCTACACAACACAACACATGGAGCAGACAGGAGCTGGATTCACGGTGAGGCGGCGGCGACAGGTTAAAAGTAAAACATGCTTTGCACGGGGCTCGGGAGAAAGAAGAGACGTGATATATGGACACATTTTGTTACAATGATAAACTAACTAATGATGGCTAATGACTATGTTACGTTAGCTTCTTAACACATTCAGTTTGAAATTAAATGTATAATTACAACAATCTTTGTTTTTGATTGCTTTCTTTTTAGAAATCCCCAAGCTTGCAATGCATGTATTTGGGCTTCTTGCATGTTGTACAACACTGAGAGAGATGGATGAGGTGCTTTCTAGTTCATCAGTCCTCTTTTGCTCTCCCTGCAGTGGACCAAATGTTGCAAAGTACTACAGACATCTGCAGTTGCTTTTGCAGCAAAGGCGGACATTTGATCTGGACGAGAAAAATATAATTGCTGAAGACTACAAGGTATTAAATGTTAATATTAGGGGAAAAATAATCAGTACATGGCCTCACATTTGTAATGCATTTAGTATACTGTATAATAAAAACCAACTAGACCAGATCTGATGAACTAAACGCAACACATGTGCATCAGGACATACTGTATGCAGACGTCCATAGGGGTCCTAGTCAGATGGTCAAATTTTGAACCTGTTTTGCACGTCCACAGGACAGACAAAAGTGGTTCTGAACTGTCGGACGTTATACGGAGATGATCTGAACGTCAATCTGACAACGCGTGTTTGCTGGGTAGCTTTTTTTATGTTAATACACTGTTCAATCCCAGCTAACTGTGGACAATAATAAATGAACTGTTAATCTGCTGATTTCCACAAAGTGTATACACACTATGCTTTTCAACATTGTTTTTTTGTCTGTGCGATCCCAATATACCCAAAATATCTAAATTGGCTTACCAGTAGCATTAGTTTGGGGTGGGACTACCTGTTATATTTGACAATGTCATGGAAATTTTTTTGCAATTAGTTTGGTGCCATTGGAGTTGAAGAAATTACATACTTCATATTTAACCTTTTTCTCCACAGTAGCTTCACAAATAAACAGAGCTGAAATATTGATGGGACACCTAATAAAAGTGAAATGATGCGGCCCATGAAAATAGACCTATAGATTCTGTTGAAGTTCATTTATTTAACTTCCGTCATCTGTTTCATCTAGAAGATCAATTGATGGCAGAAGGTAGATGATCTTGTCTTTGAAAAGTCTGCACAACACTGCACCATCAAGTGTTCTACCTTCCTCCAACACTGTTTGACCAACCTGGTGTAGGTGGCCATCATTATTGTGATTCTATGGAAATATCACATGATTATTTATAATTTTATAAATACTTTTCAACATTATTTCCAAATAATCAAACATCAACTTGATACACCAATACATTTTGTTCAGTGTTCAATTCAATAATTTTATCAAAACCTAGTTAAGTGATTTGATGAAGTGCTGATTTGGATGTTATCTTACTCTGTGCCACTCTTCAGTTTTGACCTGAATATGGTTCTCAGGTGTTCCAGGATCTCATGTGCAGCCCACTCCTTCCGAAACTGCACGGCAGACACTATATGACCTTGCTCTGCCAATAGTGCTTTTCTGTTTTCTTTTTAAATACCAATCAGCTATTGTTCGGCTGTTAAGACCACTTTCTGCCATTGCAAATTATTTGTCACTCTGTGACTGTGCACTCAAACAGCAGGGATATTTTGGGAGTGAGTGAGTGTGTGTGTGTGTATGTGTGTGTGTGTGTGGATGTATATCTACTGTGCGTGAATTCCAAGGGGGGGGGGGGGTCCCTCTGCTTCTCTCCTTCTCTCCCTTTCTCCTGCTCTAATAACTCAAAGAACAAAGAAGGGGAAAAGGGAAAAACAAAAAAACAAAAGTTAACTCTAATAATTTGTTTTCTTTGTGTATTTGTTTGCTCTATTTTTTATTTTTAAATTTTATTTAGTTTATTTGAAGTTGCTCTCAGATCAGCCTCTTCCTCTCAATACTGAACAGCTTTATTGTCAAAATCAAAAAGCACACAATTCTAGCTACTATTTCCATTGATACCCATCTTCTACGGGCTCAATCAGCGTGTTTAAAATTTTAGGGCGCCTGTATTTCTAAATACGGAATCCTGTACGTCCTATAGCACAGACCCGCCACTTTAAACCGCTATAAATCACCGCTTTGACACACTATCCTCGTTTTCTAAAACGATTCTTCGGTGTGCTGGAAATATTTTAGAGATTACTCTGCCATCAGTTTTTACAGTCTCGCCATATTCCAACCACCTTCCAGTCATGCCAAGCAAATTGCTAAATCGCTTTACTGCTATTCCAAATATTTGACTAAATGGTCTTTTTTCCTAAAAAAGATCCACTTTTACTAAAGTCTTTTCTAAAATGGAAAAAACTTCCCCAGCATCATTCAATATTTCAGAGGTTTACTGAACAGAGCAACTCAAATAAGCCACATCAAATCCAAATTATTTAAATTATTTTCCTTTTTCTGACCTATATTCATTGGCAAAACAACTGGTACTTTAAACAACACAGTTCTTTTAAGCAGTTTCAGTCAATGTCCAATCATCAGGCAGACTTAGAATTATTTTTAGAATAGGGAAAAGTCTTACCTTGAATGATTGAGACAAATGCCTGAATGCAATCAAGTTCATCTTCAACCCCTTTTCTCTTGTTCATCTGTTTTGTCTTTTCCTTTTTCTTCCTCTCATCTTCCAAGAAGATCCTGTACCGGTTGCGTGCAGTTGCACACTCATTTAGCAGCTCTTTAGTTAGAGGCACTTTGACCACTCCACCACAAATCCTCACATAGTCGCAGATTAGTCTCTGTGAAACTATAGTGTCTTCATTCATATTCCACATCTCCACCTCCTTGTTTATAGAAAACCCACGCTCGACAGTAGCTTGTCCATGGGACAGAAGCAGCAGCTTTTCCACAAAGCTCCAAAGTTCTGCAAATCCATTCATGGCCTTATGCAGGAAGCTGTCAACTCGTGATTTTCCATCAAATGCACTGAAGGCCATGAATTCCTCTCCTCTGGCCTCGCTGAAGAGGAACTTCTGAAATTGTTGGGCAATCTTATCACCTGCATTTAGATAAAGACAAGCACATCTGTAATACTTTCTAGTTAAAATTAAATT